AAGTTGTATATAGGTGAACTTAGGCCCACTGTGTTACAGTCCTAAGCTCAAAGGAACTCCAAGCATCTGCCTCAGCCATCAACCCTAGAAAGAACTCTGGCTAACAATCTGCCTTCTGGTGCCGGGCCGACTGCTAGCAGGAACTCACATTTGCACGGTCGTCACGCTCTGTAGCAGGAACCTGCAACATCTGCCTAATAATCACACCCTTAAAAACCTCCCTCAGGCCATTCTATTTTCCAGCAATGCTACTGAATAGAGCCACATTTTTTCACGACAGTGAAAATACACAGTTCCCACCCATGTGGCAGACATCTCACAAAACACATGCGCTCATCACAGGGAGTAAGCAGACCAAGGATGAGGGCACTGGAACAACTGTCTGCCAGTCTGAATCTTCCCCAGAGAAGCCACAGAAAGCTGCTGACTTCTCTCCATAGAACCCCCTGGGCAGGCTGTGTCTGCTGCACATGTGCTGTCCTACACTGAAGCAATGACACACTAAAAACCTAACTGGATCTTCACGGGGTGAGTTCTGTTTATCAGACTCCTCTGGGAAATTCTTGAGTGACCTCCTCCCCTGCCCATGGGCTACAATAAGTAAAACAGGTGTCTATCTGCAGAAAGTCTCTGGCCATTATCAGGGGGCAGAATGGAACGCTCTTTTCTGACCTTTCAGTTTGAGCACATGTGTCTGAGTCCCCTGAGATTCAGCCACACTGCAGGGACGACGGGGCGAAGGTGCACATGGCGGCTGGCCATCAGCATGCGGGGATACCATCTAAGTGAAATAAAATGGAGCAGGCTGAGAGCGCCTCAGGAAGCCGATGTTACACTCCACGGGTAGCTGGCATAAGTGGTAGCTTGCAGAATTATCCGAAGTGGGATCATTCTTGCCACAGTTGAGCAAATTCTCAGGTTTTCCCTTTTCTCACTTTTGGTCGTCCAGTGCCTGAAATTAATGCTAACGCCAAGTTTACTCGAATATCCAGACTACGGAAATCAGACAGCACCTATCCTAAGTTCCCACACACGATGTGACACCATGTGCCTTCACATTCCCAGTCTCCCGCAGACCAGCGCCCGCGGAGGCTCCTCCGTAGCCCACGTGCTGAGCAGCACACAGATGCCAGTGTCTCAGGGCAACTGGCTACGGAGGGGACAGCACAGCACCCTCTTGGGGAGGCGTCCCCCCGACCTCCCGAGGGTTCCGAATACGCTGTTTCCCATGCAACATCAGCTCAGGCAGCAGCCATCTCTTAAATGAGCCTGCACTTATTTCAAAAACTTCCTTCAACTCCGATCTAGATCAGGAATTAGTGGTCTCTTCGCTTGCTCGGGTGGCTGCTCCCTGCAGACAATGCGTAAACCACCCCATGCCACCCACACTCAGACACGTGAGAAAGCACACTGTGGGGAGGGGGAGCACTTCCCTGTGGGGCAGGGGAGCACTCCTCTATGGGGGAAAGTGGAGCAGTCTATGGGGGAAGGGGAGCACTCTGGGGAGGGAAGCACCTTGGGGAAGTGGGAAGTACACTTCCACAGGGAGGGGGAGCACTGCAGGGGAACGGGACTTCACCTTTTCTCCTGGGCCCAGAATAGTCACTGTGAGGCTCAAAAATACCTGGTAAACATTAAAGCCCTGATGCACAGAGGCATGATGGAAAACAGTCCAGAGAGAGCCACAAACAAAAACAGCATCCACTGAACATGGGCAGAGAGAGAGGCGGCTTGCTGAATGAAAGGACTATGAGCATAGCCCCACTCTTCCTGCAGCCCATCTGTCCCACATGAGCACAGGGACGGAGTCTCTAGCCCACAGTGAGGCTACAGCCTGCCCCAGCTGGCTGGTGCTCTCCACCCTCCACCACTGGTGTGAGCAGGTGCCTGAGCAGACGAGGGCTAGGGAAATGGTGCTGGACCAGTGTTCTCTGCCCTCCACCATGCACAGGGGCCCTGTGAGTTCAGCCTGCCCCACAGCCCCACAGGACCGGCCACCTTCTCCACCCCCAGTGTGGCTGCCCAACCCTCCTGACTAGAGCTCCGTGCCTCACCTCCCAGTCCCCACCCTCCCCAAAACATAAAGCCTGTAGGAACACAGACATAGCAAACAGAGCACTTCCACCCACACCTTAAATTCCTTAGAGCTTTGGCTTTATATTAGAAATATAAAAGTAATTAAACACTGCATTCTAAACAAGCAGTCTATGTAAGTGATTCAAAAACCCGTGCCATGCCTTCCTTCTCTTTGGTTCTCAACCACAAAAATTGAAAACGCACTATTTTAAAATGCTCCCAACCATTTTTGATGAGTGAATTTGCTCCTGAATAGCGCTGACACAGCATGACGTGAGTAGCTAGTTGTGGTCAATACACACGGATGGATGGCAAGCACCTCCCGCAACAAAATGGCTGGATCTTTCCTGCACAGCCAGAGCTCCCCAGGCCTTGTAAGCTTCTCTGGATATGACAACAGGAAGTCCTCCCTTGGGATCTGTGGGGAGGAGGAGACCAGTGGCGACAGTGCAAACCAGCAGTGAAACCGAAATTCCTGGGCACGCCTTGTCTGCTGAGATTCACAAAACCCTCTCTCCCTGCGGCAAGTCTTTTTCTGAGCCCTGGGCTAAAAGTTGCATTTAAAAGCTCCTTCTAAAAGGTTATCAGATGCCATCATCACTTGAAGAGTAAAAAACTGCCTTTACCTTGGCTTAGGCTATTTTCTGCCGAAGGCTGTGACATAAATTAAGAAAGATTCTGGTGGCTGGGACAGTGGCTCACGCCTGGAATCCCAGCACTTTGGGAGGCTGAAGTGGGTGGGTCACCTGAGGCTGGGGAGTTCAAGACCAGCCTGGCTAACATGGTGAAACCCCATCTCTCAAAATACAAAATTAGCCAGCCAGTGCACATGCCTGTAATCCCAGCTACTCAGGAGGCTGAGGCAGGAGAATCACTTGAACCTGGCAGGTGGAGGTTGCAATAAGCCGAGATGGCACCATTCCACTTCAGCCTGGCAACAGAGCAAGACTTGTCTCAAAAATAATAATAATAATACACACACACACACACACACACACACACACACAGAGAATTCACATGCTATAAAATTCACCCTTGGCAATGTACAATTCAGCGCGTTTTTTAGTTCATTTCTGAGTTGCACAATCGGTCACCACCATCTAATTCTAGAGCATTTTCATCACCCTAAGAAGGCACAAGACCTGCACACACACACTCCCCACATATCCTCCCCCAGCTCCTGCCAACCATTAATCTACTTTCTGTCTTGCCAAATTTGCCAGTTCTGACATGTCACATACATAGAATCACAAGCAATGTGTGGCCTTTTATTTCTAGCTTCCTTCACTTAGCATCGGCTTTCAAAGTTCATCATGGTGTACATAAATCAGTAGTTCGTTTCCTTTTTGCATGTGTGTGCTGGATAATACCTCATGGTAAGGCATAAATCACATTTTGTTTATCCATTCATCTACTGATGGGCACAGAGAGGCTTCCACTTTTACAATGGCGATGCCAAGAACACAAGAACATTTGTGTGAAAGTTTCTGTGGACGACAAGCCCTTCAAAGCTTTTGAGGATATACTGAGTATGGGAATCTGCAGGTGTATCGGTAACTCTTCATATTCCTGTACATCAAGGAATTGCCAAGGTGTTTCCAGAGCAGCTTCACCATTTTACATTCCACCAGCAATGCACGAGATTTCCAACTCCTCCACGCCCCTCCTTAACACCTCTTCTGTCTGTTCTACCATTTTGTACCTACCAGCAACGCACAAGACTTCCAACTCCTCCACGCCCTCCTCACCTCTTCATTGTCTGTCTCTTCACCACGGGCATTCTCCTGCCAGCAATGCAACGAGACTTCCAACCTCCGCTTATCCTCCTTAACACCTCTTCATTGTCTGTCTCTTCACCATTTTACATTCCCACCAGCAACGCATGAGACTTCCAACTCCTCCACATCCTCCTTAACACCTCTTCATTGTCGGTCTCTTCACCATTTTACATTCCCACCAGCAACGCACACAAGACTTCCAACTCCTCCACGCCCTCAACACCTCATTGTCTGCCCTTCACCATTTTAGCATTCCAGCCTCAGCAACGCATGAGACTTCCAACTCCCCTAATAATCCTCCTGCACACCTCTTCTCATTGTCTGTCTCTTCACCATTTTACATTCCTGCCAGCAATGCACTCCAGACTTCCAACTCCTCCACGTCCTCCTTAACACCTATTCATTGTCTGTCTCTTCACCATTTTTGATTCCACTCAGCAACGCACGAGACTTCCAACTCCTCCAATGCTTCCTCAACACCTCTTCATTGTCGGTCTCTTCACCATTTTACATTCCCACCAGCAACGTTACTTAAGACTTCCAACTCCTCCACGTCCTCCTCGCCACCTCTTCATTGTCTGTCTCTTCACCATTTTACATTCCCACCAGCAATGCACCGAGACTTCCAACTCCTCCGCATCTCCATCACTTTTCGTTGTCTGTCTCTTCACCATTTTGGCATTCCCACCAGCAACGCATGAGACTTCCAACTCCTCCACATCCTCCTTAACACCTCTTCATTGTCGGTCTCTTCACCATTTTACAGTTCTAATTAGCAATCGCACAAGACTTCCAACTCCTCCACGCCCCTCCTCAACACCTCTTCATTGTCTGTCTCTTCACCATTTTACATTCTACCAGCAAGATGAGAGACTTCCAACTCCTCCACGCCCCTCCTTCAACACCTCGCGTTGTCTCTTCACCATTTTTACACTTAATTAAAGCAACGCATGAGACTTCCAACTCCTCCACGCCCTCTCAACACCTCTTCATTGTCTGTCTCTTCACCATTTTACATTCCACCAGCAACGCATGAGACTTCCAACTCCTCCACGTCCTCCCCACCTCTGCTGTCTGTCTCTTCACCATTTTACATTCCTACAGCAATGCACCCAGACTCCAACTCCTCCACGTCCTCCTCAACACCTCTTCATTGTCGGTCTCTTCACCATTTTACATTCCCACCAGCAACGCACAAGACTTCCAACTCCTCCACGCCCTCTCAACACCTCTTCATTGTCTGTCTCTTCACCATTTTACATATTCCCACCAGCAATGCACCTAGACTTCAAGTAACTCCTCCGCATCCTCCTTGCACACCTCTTCGTTGTCTGTCTCTTCACCATTTTACATTCCCGCCAGCAATGCACCTAGACTTCCAACTCCTCCACGTCCTCCTCAACACCTCTTCAGTCTGTCCTTTTTATTACACTCTTAGTGGGTGGTATGAAGTACAAAGCTTTTATGTGTATTTCTCTAATGGGCAATGCAAACAATGTTGACCATCTTTTTTTTTCTTAATTTTTTTTTTTTTTTGGTATGTAGTGAGTCTCGCTCTGTCGCCAGGCTGGAGGAGTGCAGTGGCCGATCTCAGCTCACTGCAAGCTCCGCCTCCCGGGTTCACGCCATTCTCCTGCCTCAGCCTCCCGGGTAGCTGGGACTACAGGCGCCCGCCACCTTCCCCGGCTAGTTTTTGTATTTTTAGTAGAGACGGGGTTTCACCTGCAGCACAGGATGACCTTGATCTCCTGACTCCTGATCCGCTCTGCCTCTCGGCCTCCCATAGTGCTAGATTTATATCATGCGCCCAGCAGCTGTTGACCATCTTTTTCATTCATTGCTGGCCTCTGTATTATTCCTTGGTAAAATACCAATTAAAATCCTTTGCCCATGGTTAGATTAGAGCATCATTTTGTTATGAGTTGACAGAGTTCTTTGTGTCTTCTGGCGCACATGCTTGACCAGAGCTACGCTCTGCCAATCACCTCTCCCATCCTGTGAATTTTCTTTTCATTTTTGTAATGGTGTCCTTTGAGGAACAAAAGTTTTTAATTTTGATCTAGTCCAATTTAGTTTATCTTTTCCCTTTTGTTGCTTATGCTTTTTATACCATATCTAAGAAAAGATCACCTAATCCAAGTGCAAGCGCCATGACTACCCTGTGTTTTCTGCAGTCAACTCAATAAAGTAACTTCTAAGTATCTGCGGATATTTAGTCCTCTTAGGCTCCATGGAGTAGGGAGACAGGTGAGATGCCGGCCCACCCTTAGCTGAATCTGCTGTTTCACTAGGGGAAGAAGACATACAAGCAGGCCCTCAAATCTGCTGGTCCCCTAGACTCACAGTGGGACACAAGAAGGGAGGCCTGTAGGGGCAGTGACAGGAGAAACGCCTCGATGGGAGCCGTCATCCCACGGTGAGCCAAACAGTCTCCATGAGCCATCATCCACGGCGAGCCAAACGGCGTCTCGATGGCTCCTTCCGATGGGAGCAGTCATCCCACGGTGAGCCAACGGCCCAGTGGGAGCAGTCATCAAAAACAACGCCAAGCGATGGCTGGGACCTGGGGAGGCGGAGGTGGAGGCGGGTGGTGGGGGGCATGCCGCAGAACAAAGGCCAGAGAGGCCAGAATTGGGCCACATGGCCTTGGCCAGCACAGAAAAGCCTCCCACTTGCACCCACCTGTCCCACGTATATTTAAAGGAGCTCTGCACTGCATAGCCAGTCAGCTTAATCTGCAAACACTACCTTGGTGAGAAGGAAACAGCTAAAATGTCCTCAGCTCACATTTCTTTTCCTATTTGCTGCAAATTATGGCAATAATCTAAGGTTCGCTCAATGCTCCACGAGCAGAGGGCCACATACTTCTGAGTCCGCAACACTTTAAGTTGAAGCTATTTCCTTTTTTGTTTGTTTGTTTGAGACGGAGCCTGCTCTTGTCATCCATCCTGAGTGCCGTGGCGCTGACTAACCACTGCAACCCTGCTTCCTGATGCAAGTGATTCTCCTGCCTCAGCCTCCCAAGTAGGTGGGATTACAGGCACCCATCAACACACCCGGCATTTTGTATTTTTAGTAGAGACAGGGTTTCACCGTATGGCCAGGCTGGTCTCAAACTTCTGACTGACTCTGTGTAAACATCCGCCTGCCTCAGCCTCCCAAAGTGCTAGGACTTCCCAGGCTGAGCCACTGCGCCTGCACAAGTTGAGGCTATTTTATCCCAAGGAACAGAGCTTTGGGAGCCGAACAGAAATGGGAGGGATTGAGGCCGCACTTCACAGCTTGGGTCTGAAAAGTAAACGGTTGAAGGAAAGGACCTGTGAACTCTTCCAGCGTCAATTCCAGGCTACAAAGGAGACTCATGAATGGGTTTCCCAGAAGCAGCATTTCCCTGCACCAAGTGAAAAGCAGCGAGGCTGAAGTATGGGAGTGCACACACCAGGGGGCTGACCACTGTAAGTGGCAGCAAACCCAGTTTGTTAATCCAAGACAGAATGGCTTCCACCTGAGCCCCTGCTGAGCCTGCTGCAGTTATTCTCACAAACCAGAGTGACCATGTAACCTTACAGCGCGTCATATTTCGTGCCTTCCCAAAAACCCTCCAAGTCGCATCCACTTAGATGAAAGAAGAAATTAGACGAGGCCCTCGGTGACCTCCCTGTCTCACGGCTCAGACACAGCCAAGGTGAGTCCTGCCCGTGCCGCTCCTCAGCCCAGCCCCTTCCTCCTCTCCTTCAGGTCTTTATGCCCACGATAGCTCAGCACGGCTGGCTCCCTAAGTGTCCCCCTCTGAAGCCTTCTCCATCCTCCTGTAATAAATATATTACAAATATTTCTCTGTAATATTTAATGCTACATGACTCATGATCTGTTTTAATGAATATTTCACCAAAGGATAACTTGCCTTACAAAGTGCCTAACCTGCCCTAGGTGTGTGGCTCAGCCTCCACTTGGGTAACCAGTGTCATCAGGACCAAGAAACACAACATCGTCAGCATCTGAGAAGCCCCTTCTGTGACTGCAGGCCCTCCCACCTACCAAGGTCTCATTCACTTTGACCTCTGCCTCCATCCCCCAGGAGTGCCCAGCTTTGAACCTCAGATCAATGAATCTTATAATATACTCTTCTGTCTCTGGCTTCTTTTCCTTGTTTAGGCTGTCAAAAGTCACCCATGTTGTTTGTTCATTTTATTTAATGTGAACATTTACCGCATTTATTTTTGCTTTTTTCTACTGTTGACAGACATTTGGGTTGTTTCTCGAGCATATATTTACTGCAAACTGCCAAACAGTTTTCTGAAATGGTTTTGAATGCTCCCACCAGAGGCACATATGGGTTCCAAACAGCTCCACAGCCTTCCAACGCCTCGCCCTGATAACAAATACCTGATCAGACCTGTGCTCTGCCAATCAGCTTCCCATCCTGTGGATTTTCTTTTCAATTTCATAACGGCGTCCTTGAAGCAAAGTTTTTAATTTTGATCTAGTTTAATTTTTAGTCTTTAATGTAAGTTTAGTAATATATTTGTTTACTGTCTGCCTAAAATGACAGTGCATTAGATGTATGCCACTAGCAGACAGATTTCCAAAACGACTAATATAGAAACCTGCACAATTGTATTATAAATATAATTCTGGCACACTGAAAAACACATTTTAATTTAACTGGAGAAGAAAGATTGTATTCTCTCATCAGCAGTTCTTCTCTTTCACCTGCATCAGCAGCTCTCCTTCTTTCACTCTGCGCGGTGCTCCTGGCTGAACAGCATCAGTGGCTCAGACCCCTCATATTCTAGAACGTGAAGCACATGTAAGATAACGCTTTGTTGCTGAGATGCTACCGCAGAAGGAAAGCTCCAGGCCACCCCAGAAAACATAGTGATAACACCTTTTCCTATAAAGTTAGCTGAGGGGTGTGTGTGTGTGTGTGTTCTATGTGTCACAAGGCACCATTTAGCAGCTCTTACAGGGTTTCTCATTGATTATCATGCAACTCCCATGAAGGTGCCATATAATCCCCCGCTTTAGAGACAAGCAAACTGAAGCTAAGAAAAACAGGTAACGACCAAAGATAAACATGTGCTAAGTAAGTCAAGTTCAAACACTGTGGTTGGATCAGGCTCGAGTTCTCACCTCTGTCCATGCTGCCCTCACAACCCACACATCCTGGCACCATGGTCCACATCAGTGCGCCCCTTACAAGGTCAAAGGCTCTGCACCTGCTCTGGGCACGCGCACACAAAAGGCGCGAGAGGCCCCTGCACCTGCTCTGGCATGCTGGCGCGCACGCGCGCACGGTGTGAGGCCCTGCACAGGCTCTGGGCATGCGCTGATGGAGGTGCGGAGGTGGCTCAAGTACCAGAGCATGCACACACACAGGCATGGAGGAGCACGCGGACCGTTGGGCTCACGGCTGCACCTCGGAAAACCTGTGGGCCTAGTGCTGAGCCTCACTTTGCGACTGCCGAAAGGTTTGGTGCGCTGCTTAACTTTATGTTGGAAATGTAAGCGATGTTAGACGAATCACGCAATGGCTGGTGAATTCAACTCCGTAATGCCTCTGTCAAAGTTCTGAGCTATTTGAGGTTGCACGTGCAGGGTTCTAAGCCCTGTGACCACTTAGACTCTTACCTGCGCCGAGTGAAGGTTTTTAATGCAACCCAAAACGGAAAGCCTGAAAATGAACAGATCGACCCAGCAAGCATCACAACCTCTCGCTCAGATTTTGTATGTTCACTAAAGTCTTACTTTTTCACTGAATTCATACTAAATAATGCTACTTGGAGCTTATAAATTTATACAAATGAAATGCTTTGAGAAGAAGTTCTGCTGGATAAACCCATAGAAATCACTGCTAGGTTCTGTAATTCCTGCGCTTTTGTGTGAGCTCAGCAATAGGAAACAGCTTCCATCAGTCGTGTGGCAGAAGGCTGCCTTTGCTGGGCTGCCATGCAATGCCAGGCTTTCGGGCACTCAAAGAAACCAACTTTTTTATTTAACGGAAAATAAAACTCAATCTGAACATTCTTGAAATGTCAGCAAAACCCGTTTATGGTATTTAGATTTCCCAGTGTCCTTCTATAATTAATTCTCCCTTGAATGAAAAAAATTTCTTTCCCCAGTGTATCTATGGAGTGCCTTTTATTAGACCCAGATGGAGGTTTCCTTTTTACTCACTGCCAGAAACGCACAGCTAAACCATCCCAGACGCCTGCTA